TGTTCTCATTATCACGGCGTTAGCGGCAGCGAGGGGCGCACTCTCAGGGGCGCCTTTGCAGGAGCCCCCACAGCTGCACCTCGGTGGCGCTGCCCCCCGCCATGCGGGTTCAATGACTCCCTTCCCTGTCTTTTCTTCCGAGGGGAGCAGAGGGGCGTCGCGCAGCCCAGCCCGGCGCAGCGAGGCAGCGCAGAGCCACGGCAGCCCCCACCGAGGAACAACAAAGCCCTGGAATTAGAGATGTGCTGGGAGTTTACTTTACTGCAAAAAAATGTCAGAAATCCATATTGTTTGGACAGGGATTTGCTGGGGATCGCTAGATAAAAGCCTGGCAGGGACTCAGCTGCGGGGGAAAAGTCAGCCAGCTCCTTTCTCGTGGTGGTGACTTGTGGCCAAGCGAGGGATGCACCCCACCGCCGGCACGGGGGGTTTCGGGACCGGGGCACGGGCAGGGGCAGGGATGGTCGGTGCCTTCGTGAGCCAGAGCAGGACCTGGGTCCGGGTGCAGCATGGGGCCAGGGGAGGGGGTGCCGGGGTGCCAGGCTGCCCTGTGCCTGCCACCAACTTTGGGTCTTTGCAGTCAGAAACATTTCAGCTGTGCCGGCATGCCAGGGCACCGGGCTCAGCTGCCTGCTGATGGCTCCACAGCACGAGGAGCCCGGCCACAGCCCGGCGGGACACGGAGCCAGTGCGCAGGGCTCCCCGGGGCCAAGGGGTGGCCGCCCTGGCACATAGGGACAGGAGCGGGAAGGAGCTGGGCTGTGGGGCTGCTCTCACCCCTTGGGGCCCCCCAGCAGCTCCACGCTTGCCAAATTTTGCAGCAGAGCCAGGGCAGCTGCTCCCACCATGCCCACGCTCAGCTGCTCTCCTCTCCCTTTCCCACTCTCCCTGGAAGCTGGGGCTCAGCTCCTGGCTGCGGCTGCTCGGGCTGCAGCTCAGACCAGGGAATGCCAAACCTGCTTTTCCCCCAGGACCCAGCAGGGCCTGTTCCCCCGGGTCTGTGCTCGGGACTCACCTGCCTCCGTGCTGCCCAGCCTGGGGCCTGCGGGTGCAGCCGTGGCACCGCCAGGGGGCCGGGGGGGCCCGGCATGGGCCCTGCCGGGGGCTGCCGGTGGCGGTGGGGTGCCCTCCCTGGGCTTGGTGTGGGGAGAGCTGCAAGGAGCCACGCCAGCCAGATGTGCAACAAACAGCAGCCACGCGGGCCAGCAACCCCTGGGCATGCCTGGCCACGGGACAGGGACAGCGGGCGCCTGCCCTGCCCACTCCTCCCGGCCCGATTTCAGGAGAAAGAACAGCACACGCAGCCTGGTTTCACATCTGTTATTTTTTTTAATACTGTTCACGTCTAAAATGACCAAAACCAAGCCAAGTGCTCCCAGCCCCTCGCCCTGCCTCAGGCGGAGAGCAGGAGGGCCGCAGGCTCCCCGATCACACGTGCCTCTTCCCTGCCCGCTGCTGGGTGCAGGCAGGCGGGCAGGCAGGGCACGCCGGCACTGCGGGCAGGCTGCTCTGCGCCTGCTGCTAGGCGAGGGGACTCTGCGTGGCTCCGATGAATGCATTTAAATAATAAGCTAACGAGTGGCAAAAGCAAAGGCATCTTAATCACATGTCCTAAAATAGCGATCGGCAACTGCTTCTCCTGCCCCGGCAGCGAGGGGGCCCTGCCCGCCCCGCAGCGGCTCGGGGGCAGGTGAGGGCACGGCCCCCCAGCAGCCGGCACCAGGCTGCCAAGGCACTCGCACCGCTGGCAGCTGGCGGTTATGGTAAGCGTGCAGTGACGCGGGGTCCAGCGGGGTGTGCGGGGAGCAGTGCTCAGGCTGGGTGCAGTGCGAGCGGGTGCTCGGTGCGGTGGCGCGGGGTGGGTGCTGCCGCGTTGCTGGTGGCACAGACCCGGCTGCCTCCTGGTGCCGCAGGGACGCGGGGCTGGGCTCCTGTCCCGTGTCCCCAGGAAGGCAATGCCGGCCAAGCTGCCGGCTGTGGGGCAGCCCCACAGGCCACGTTGTCGTGTGGGTGTCTGCTGGGGGCTGCACTTACCTGCACCCCCTGCCCCGCAATGCAGCAGGCACGGTGCAGGTGACCGGGGCACAGCGGATGGGGAGGGTTTTGGGGTGGAAGCCGGGCTCTCGCCGCAGCCCTGGCCCAGCTGGGGTGCCAGGGCCAGGCTGTGTTGGGGCACCCCGGCCGGGCACGGCGGAGGGTGGGCGCAGGGGTGCGGCTGGGACCCGGCCGGGCGCTCAGAACACGAAGCGGAGCCCGTACGTCATCTGATGGCCGTTGTCCCAGGCGTACAGCACCTTCTCCTTGGGGTTGTAGTCGACCTGCGTGGTGAAGGCATACTGGTTGAGGAAGGGCAGCCGGAGCTCTGCCTCCGTGTCCGTGTGCGTGTCGAAGGCGTAGGAGATCTGCCCTTCCTTCTGGCTGTAGGTGTCCACAGCGTAAAGGACGCCGCAGATGATGAAGCAGTTCCCGTAGGCATTGCGTTTCAACCCTGTCTTCCAGGTGGTCTCCCTGCGCACTGAGAGGTCTCCGGGGTCAAGTCGGCTCAGGACGATCACCTCCTGCTGTGAGTAGTCGTAGTCCACGGAGGGGTAGATGACCCAGAGCCCGCTCTCGTCCACGGCGAAGTCGATGTCCGAGTGGCCCCTCCACTTCCAGGGCGTCGTGTCTTCATACACCACATCGTGGAGCAGTGCCCAGCCCGCCACGTACCGCTCCTTCAGGTCGTACTTGATGATGTTCTTGGTGAAGGCGCGGTTGTAGTAAAAGGCCCCCCGGTACACCACGTGCCCGGTGCCGATCCAGTTGTAGGGCAGCTTGTAGAGGTTGCTCCAGCGGCCTGTGAGCAGGTGGGAGAGGCGTTGGGACCCCTCGCAGCACTGGGGTCCCATGCATGATGGCCCGAGCGTGCTGGCAGGGGACTTGTGTCCCCCTCGCTGGCCCATGGGTGCTCCCCAGCGCAGGTCCCCATCAGCTGCCCACCACCCCAGGGCCCGGCACAGCCAGCGTTGCATGGCACTGGGCACCCACCCAGGAGCAGCCAGGGCCCCCGCGCCCGCTCAGCTGCCAGCCCTCACCCTGCTTGAAGTTGTCGAGGCTCCTGAACTCCACCAGGCTGTTGCCATAGTAGTAATTGGTGACATAGATGCGGTCATCCTTGGCCGCTGGGTCCTTCATCCAGGCCCCCTCGTTGCGTCCGTAGCTGTGGTGCTCCATGGGGGGCTCCACCGACTCGATGGTGCCTTCGCACTCCACCTCCTTCACTGGGTACCAAGGAGGAGGAAGGCTTAGCCCTGTCCTAGGCAGCCTGCCCCCACCGCGGTGGGAAACCCTTCGCCATGGCAGGGTTATTGCTGGCCCAGTCTGGCCACGGGTGCCGGGACTACTGGGGCGGGTGCCCCTCCCAGCCCCCCTGCTCACCCACCTCTGCTGGGCGTTTCAGGGCCCCCGGTGCTGTCAGCCCCCTGCCCAAGGACGGTGGTGGTGGGGCTGCGGGCAGTGGTGCGGGGGGCCGGGGTGGTGCTGGGCGCAGCCGTCGTGCTCGGCACAGTGGTCTCTGCCCTTATGATGGCTTGGGCCGGGGTCCCCTCGGCTGGGGGGGGGGCGGGGGGACGCTTGGCTGCTGGCTGGCCCGTCTCCCGCCCCTGCCTGCCCAGCCTTGTAGTAAGTGATGCCCCGGACCACGGTTTGCTGGTGCGCCAACGGTTTGGGTTTGGGCTTGGGCGTAGGCTGCGACCCGCCCCTGGCCTTCGTGTTATCCTTTTTGGGCTTCTCGGGCTTCAGCTGCTTCTCCTTGGGCGCTCGGGGGACTGCCCTGTCTCCCAGCGCCTTGCGGGTGCTGGGGTACCGTCCCACCTCCTTCTCTCGGCCGCCTGCCGTGTCCTGGGGGGCACCGCCCGGTCCGGCCCCCAGCCCCCCCCCCCCCCTGCCGCTGTTCCGGATGGCGGGTGCAGGCACCAGCCCTTGGCTGCTGGCACGGTGCCCCCCAGTGCGCGCGCAGGAGCTGCCAGCACCCGCCGCAAGCCTGGGGGAGCTCGGCTCTGCCCCGCGGCAGAAGCCCAGCTGCACCGGCCATGCCTGCGAGGGGCTGGGGCCCTGGGGGGTACCTGTGCCTTGCTCTCAGGGACAGCGGCAGCATCCTTCTGCAGCAGCTGGTAGCCCAGGTTGGAGATCTCCTTCTTGATGCTGATCATGATGTCGGAGTAGTTCTCGTAGCGTTTCATCTGGTTGGTGAGGTGCAGGACACTCTCCTTCATGAAGTCATTTTCCCTGCTCAGGTTGGTCTTGATGGTCTGGAGGGGAGGAGAGGTGTGGAGCCCCGCTCGGGGAGCCCACGGCACCCCCAGAGGGTCCCGAGCAGCCAGACGGGGCCCGCTGCAGGGACGGTGCCTGCCGGAGCTCACTCACCTCCTCCAGCGTGTTCATCTGCGCCACCACCTTGCTGATGTAGGAGTGTACCTTCATCAGGTCCATGCTGTAGAGCGTTCCCTCCAGCAGGTCCACCATGGACTGCAGCTGCAGAGGGAGAGCAGGGCTGCGGCGCAGGGCTGGGGCGGGGCTGCGCAGCCGCTGCGGATGCCCCCCATGGCCCCATCCCCGCTCACGGCTGGAGAGCAGGAACCGCACTGCTCCACTGCCTTATGGGCCTGCCGGGGCAGGGACAGGGAGTGTGGGTTCCTGCACGTGAGGAGGGGGTCTCTGGCCCCCAGCCCCCATTCCCACCACGCCTGCAGATACCTTGAAGAGCTCAGGCGCCTGCTTCTTCAGCTTCTCCATCTTCCACTCGTTCTCACAGGGGTTGAGCGAGGAGGGGGGGGCAGTGCAGGAGCACTTGCAGTCGGCCCCCGAGCTCACCGTCTCCACCGTGTAGAAGTCCTCCACCCGCATGCTGCCATTCCTGACGCGGCTGCAGGCGTCCTTGCTGAGCGGCCGCAGGATGCACTTGCAGCGGCAGTCGGAGCCCTCCGAGGTCATCCGGACCTGGTCTGCCTCGCCCAGTGCCTGCAGGGACACGTGGCGGTGGGGCGGCCAGTGACCTTGGTGTCCCACCCGGGCATCCCGCAGGGCCCTGCAGACCCCAGCAAGCCACCACGGCCGACTCCCTCTCTGCTGCATGCCCAGAGGTTTCCCACCACCCATGGGGCTCCCAGCCGTGCCCTGAAGAGCATGGGGCACTGTCTGGCCCAGAGCACCCTGTCCCACCACCCTGCACCTGGGTGATGGTGATGAAACCTAGGCAGCCGCTTGCCCCTGCGGCCACCAGAGCGTTTTGTGCCCCGGGTACTTCGGTCCCATTTCTGTAGCTGTTTCCCAGCCTCCAGCAAGACCCGAGTGAGCAGGGACGGTGGCGAGGAGACCCAGAAGCGCCTCTGTCCCCCCACGCCCACAGCCCCGAGCCCACACAGGGTCCGTTGTTCGTGGCGACGCGCAGCCACCTCGGGGTGAGCTCAGCCCCTCCAGACTCCCGCAATGGCCCCAGGAACACACTCAAGGACTCCCTTGTTTCCACACATGGCCCTGACTCACGCTACGGAGCCCAGGGTGCTTTTCGGCTGGGTTCTGCAGATTGGGAACCATTCTCCCTGCCCCATTGTGCTTGGGAACAAGGCTGCGGCTCAGCCTGCCCGGTGGGACGGGGAGCTGCGTCCCTCTCACCCCCTGCCACCGGCTGTGTGCCCGCGGGAGTGTCTGGGCTGGCAGGGAGCGCGGCCAGGCTGCGCTGGGTGCCCCGTGCGTGGGGACGCGCCTGCTCCCAGCACCCGGGAGGGTGGGAGAAAGGGGAGATGCAGCGCAGTGACCCCGGCGGGAGAGGGCTCTGCCCGCAGGGACTCTGACTCACCCTGGGAAACAGAACGGTGGCAGAGCTGGGAAATGAGTGTAGCTCTGGCTCTCCCATCCTCCCCCGGAGCACAGCGCGGCGTGGGAAAGGGCAGAGGCCCACAGGGCCGATGTCCTGCCTGTGGGCAGCACCCACGGCCGCGCAGGAGCCATCCTTCCTTCCAGCCGGGCTGACGCGCTGGCGGCACCTGGGCAGCGGCTTTCCCTGGGCAGTGCCCGCTCAGCAGGGACCCCCAGCTCCCCACAGCCAGGGCCAGGGGCTTCTCCTTCCTCAAGACAGCAAAACCTCCTGCATTTTGCATTTCAAAAAAGCCTCTCTCTTTCAAAGGGAAACGAAGGTCCCGCTGGGAGGAGAACACCAGGCGGCCCAGAGGGCTGTAAACTGAACAGGATCTAATCAAGCTCTCGGCAGGGAGCAGCAGGGCAGGGAGCCAGGCCCCCTCCCCAAACACCACCTCTCCAGGCTCTCGCACCTCCCTGGGCCCCCTGACCTCGCCATGGCAATGCCGGCGCTTGTGCAAACAAGCAGGACGATTCACAGTCCGGCAGCGAGCAGCTGGCCCCTCTGCACACACCCAGGCAGCTCCTCGGCCCCCGAGCTGGGCTGCTGTCCTCGCCACGAGCTCTGTCCCTCCATGTGCACAGTGCTGCACGAGGTCCCGGTTTGCACGTGTATCCCTGTGGGAGCCCTGCACGAGGTCCCGGTGTGCCTCGTGGGAGCCCCACTTCAGTTCCCAGCCAGGGTCCCCTGTTCCTGCCAACACCTCAAGCACCAACCACCAGCGAAGCTACCACCGCCGCAGCACAGCCCAACACCTGGGGACGCGCTGCGATCCCGCCTGCCATGGGCACCTTCCGCAGGGAAGGGCTGCAGCTGCCTGTGCTGGAAGCTGGTTCCTGTGGGAGCAGGCGGCCGCGGGCTGCACGTTCCCTCCCACCGCCCTTGGCAGTGCTGCGGCGGGAGGCACGGCCGGCACGGAGGCCCCGCGCGTCCCGCTGAGGTGGGGCGCGAGCAGATGGAGCCGTGCGCAGCAAATGCACCCAGAGCAGCCTTATCAGCGGCTGTTTACACTGCGCAGCGCACGGGGGCCCAGCAAACGGAGGCTCCCCCACAGCGCCAAGGGGCAACCTCTTCCCCAGGGACCTCCCGGCTCAAGCCCTTTCCCTCCTGCGTCCCAGCAAACGGCCCCCGGCCGGGGCAGGGCGCAGCCCTGTGGGCAGCCTTGCGGGCAGGCAGCCGGCCGGGCGGGGAGGCCGGGGGCCCCCGGGTTTTTTTTTAGGCGCTGCGTGCACCTCGCTGCACAAGGGCCGGGGCAGCCGCCTGCCTTCACGCGGGGCAGTAACGTTAAACCTCGTTCTGCCTTTTAAATGGCTTCCTTAAACAGGAACCGTATGTTCTATTTATACAGAAAGGTTATAAACAAGGAAGTCTTAAAAAAAAGCCCCCACGTGGTCTATTCTGCGAGGGTCACCCCGCCTCGGCGCCTCGGCCGCAGGGTGACGCCTGCCCGGGCCCGTGCCCGGCCGTGCCCTGACCCTTCAGGGGACAGCCCGTGCCCCCCGGCGCTCGTGGGACCCGCTCCCCGATGGCATGTGGGTGGGTCGGGACGCAGGGGCATGGGCAGCCCCGGGCGAAGGCCAGCATGCCGCACCGGCTGCTCGGGGACAAAATCTGACAGCTCCCCGAGAAACCGTTGTGGGGGCTGCTGCAGCCCCGCAGGGTCTCCGGGCGGTTCCTTCCCTGAATCCCCGCTCACTGCAGACCCTGGCCCGGGGTGCAGGCAGGCGGGGGCTGCCCCTCCTCCGGAGCCGGGTCCCAGCTCTGCGGCGGGTCTGCGCACCCACGGCTGGCGTGGGAGAGCATCCCTGCACTTTCCTGAGGGTTTCCTCACTCCCAGTTTTATGAGCTGGGTAATTTTCCTAGCGCTGCCTCGTTTCTGGGACCTCTTGCAAGATCGTCCATGTGAGCACGGAGTTTGTGCCGTTATTTGGAGAAAGCGGGACCTTTGACAATGAACCTTGGCCAGCTTTTAAGCTGTCCTTTGCCTGCTGCCAGAGGACTTGTCTCGGAGGAAAACACGCTGTGTTGATAAGCACGCTGCCGCGCTGCGCGCCTCTTGCACAGCTGCTGGAAGGCATGTCCCCATCACGGGAGGGAAACCATGTCACCCTCCTCTTCCTCCTCCTTCTCCCCAGCTTGGCACAACGCCTTAAACACATTCTGCACCACGGGGAGCCGAGGCAGAGCGGGGCTGGCAGAGCTGGGCTGTGGCTGATGGCGGCCAGGCCCCAGGCACTGGCGCTGCCTGGGCATCCTGTGTCGGTCACCGGGACACGACCACGCAAAGCGCTTGTGTGGCACACGAATGCTCACCGGCGGGATCTCATCCAAAGGGCAAGAACCGAAAAATCACCTTCAAGCACAGCAGGCAGCGCTGCGCAGAGGGAGGGAGGGAGGAGGTGACAGCAACGCGCGGGTCCGTGGGCTGCGGATCCCAGAGTCCTTCAGACAGCGTCACCCCTGAAACGCCGCCGGGATGCCCAGCGCAGGGCTCCCCCGGACACCGCTCCCGCGCCAGCCGTTGCCAACAACAGCTGTGTTTCCTTCTTGTTGCACCAAATGACTCGGAAAATCTTGGCTTTTTAACGCCTCGGTGATCCTGGCACCAGCGCCCGTCCTCCCCGGGGGCTGCTCCCGCCACCTCCCCTCCGGGCTGCGGCCCCGCGTCCCGGCTCCAGCCCCGCCTGGACCCGGCCCCCCGGCAGCGCGGCCGTTGGAGCGCTGGGGCCGGGGGCGGCTGGACCCACGGGAGAGGCCGGCTGCACGCCGCC